TCTAGAACAGCAATGATTAATGGATAATTTTCTAAAACCTCTAGTAGAATATAAGCTCCTCAGGGTAGGAATGGTTTCTTACCCCATTATTCACCTGCAGCAACCTGTGTTTGCATATAATGAATGCATGTAATTGAAATGAATCGAGAGTTTCAACTCCTCTGTTTTCCAGGTAGGATTTTCATTAACTCAGACAATGTTTGTAAAAGTACTTTATTCAAGCCATATATGACAGACCCATAGCCAACATCATACTGAATGGGGAAAAATTGAAAGCATTCCCACTTAGAATTGGAACCAGACAAGGCTGCCCACTATCTCCACTTCTATTCAACATAGTGCTGGAAGTCCTGGCTACAGCAATCAGACAGGAAAGTGGAATTAAAGGTATCCAAATAGGGGTAGAAGATATCAAACTTTCACTGTTTGCTGATGATATGATATTATATTTAGAAAACCCCAAAGATTCAACCAAGAAACTCCTGGAACTGATCAATGAATTTAGTAAAGTTTCAGGATACAAAATCAATACACAGAAATCAGAGGCATTCACATATGCTAACAACAATCAAATTGAGAACCAAATCAAAGACTCAATTCCCTTCACAATAGCAACAAAGAAATTAAAGTACCTAGGAATATACTTGACCAAGGAGGTAAAAGACCTCTACAGGGAGAACTATGAAACACTGAAGAAGGAAATAGCAGAGGATGTAAACAGATGGAGATCCATACCATGCTCGTGGGTTGGCAGACTCAACATCATTAAAATGTCTATACTACCCAAACTGATCTACAGATTCAATGCAATACCTATTAAAATTCCATCATCATTCTTCACAGATATAGAAAAAATAATTTTATGCTTCGTATGGAATCAGAAAAGACCCCGAATATCAAAAGCAATCCTATGCAACAAAAACAAAATGGGAGATATTAATATGCCAGATATCAAACTATACTACAAAGCTGCAGTAATTAAAACACTCTGGTATTGGCACAAAAATAGGAATATTGACCAATGGAACAGATCTGAGCATCCTGATATAAAACCATCCTCATATAGCCATCTAATCTTTGACAAAGCAGACAAAAACATATGCTGGGGAAAAGAATACCTTTTCAATAAATGGTGCTGGGAAAACTGGATAGCCACTTGTAGAAGGCTGAAGCAGGACCCACACCTTTCACCTTTCACAAAAATCAACTCACGCTGGATAACAGACTTAAACCTAAGGTATGAAACTATTAGAACTCTAGAGGAAAAACTCTCCTAGACATAGGCCTAGGCAAAGAGTTTATGAAGAAGTCCCCAAAGGCAATCACAGCAGCAACAAAAATAAATAAATGGGACATGATCAAACTACAAAGCTTCTGCACAGCCAAAGAAATAGTCATGAAAGTAAACAGACAACCTACAGAATGGGAGAAAATTTTCGCATCCTACACATCTGATAAAGGGGTGATAACTAGAATCTACTTAGAACTCACGAAAATCAGCAAGAAAAAAATCAAATAACCCTATTGAAAAGTGGGCAGAAGACTTGAACAGAAACTTTTCTAAAGAAGACAGAAGAATGACCAACAAACATATGAAAAAATGCTCAACATCTTTAATCATCAGGGAAATGCAAATCAAAACCACAATGAGATATCACTTAACTCCAGTGAGAATGGCCTTTGTCAAAAAGTCTCCAAACAATAAATGTTGGCGTGGATGCCGAGAGAGAGGAACACTCCTACACTGCTGGTGGGACTGCAAACTAGTTCAACCTCTGTGGAAAGCAATATGGAGATAACTTAAGGTGATACAAGTGGATCTACCATTTGATCCAGCAATCCCATTGCTGGGCATCTACCCAAAAGACCCAATGACACTCTACAAAAAGACACCTGCATCCGAATGTTTATAGCAGCACAATTCATAATTGCAAGGCTGTGGAAACAGCCCAATGCCCATCAATCCAAGAATGGATTAATAAAATGTGGTATATGTATACCATGGAGTACTATTTCAGCTCTAAGAACAAGGTGATATAGCAATCTTATATTTTCCTGGTTAGAGCTGGAACCCATATTACTAAGTGAAGTATCCCAAGAATGGAAAAACAACACCAGAATATTCTCCAGCAAACTGGTATTAACTGAGTACAACCTAAATGGACACATAGGAACTACAGTAATAGGGTATCGAGCAGGTGGGAGGGGGAGGGGGCGGGTATATACATACATAATGAGATGATGTACACCATCAGGAAGATGGTCACGCTGAAAGCTCAGACTTGTGGGGGAAGGGGGAGGGGCACTTTTTGAAACCTTAAAATTTGTACCCCCATAATATGCCGAAATAAAAAAATTAAAAAAGTACTTTATAAATGATAAAACACTACCCAAAATGCTTCTGTGGAAGCATAACACTTGGAGGTGTTAACCTGTACATTTATTTTGGCCTCCCTGGGTTTCACCTTTCTTTACTCCCCATTCAAACAGCTGACTTTGTGTTTATTCCCCCATGGAATAGCGTGATTCTGCAGGGTGACATTTAGCTGGTGCCTGCCAGGATGGCCATCCTGGTTGTTTATGGATGGCAGCTGTTCTGATTGATTGTTGTATCTGGTCTGATGGTCTGATTGGTCAGTGCTTGTGTCATATTGTTATTAAATTCTTTGAGTATCAACACTGTAGTTGGAAGATAGAGAGAATCTGAAGTCTTTTTTTTTTTTGAGACAGAGTCTTGCTCTGTCACCCCAGCTAGAGTGCAATGGTCTCATCAGTCGACTACAACCTCAAATCCTGGGTTCAAGAGATCCTCCTGCCTCAGGCTCCCTGAGTAGCTGGAACTATAGGCACGGGGCACCACACCTGGCTAACTTTTCTATTTTTTCTAGAGATGGGGTCTCACTCTTGGTTAGGCTGGTCTCGAACTGCTGGCCGCAAGCGATCCTCCCACCTTGGCCTCTCAGAGAGCTAGGATTACGGGGACGAGCCACCACAAACTGGTAGAATCTGAAGTCTTATTAGCCTGTTTCTAAATGCCTGAGCCCCGATTTGAGAGGAGAAAAAGAAAGAGGATTACAGTGTGGAAAGTCATCTGGCACTAAAAATAAATAAAGTGAACTTGTCTGAGACTAGAAAGAGAATCTCTGGCTAGGGGAGAAGAGATGGGAAGAACAGCAGGGTCTGGGGGTTGTGAAGCTGTGGAGACCTCCACCCTGTTTTCTGGGGATGCAGCCAGGAAGGCCACAGCATTCTGCGGAGAGAGGAGATCTGCTTGGTGTATCTTAGCAGCTGTGTCCATTGGTATTCTCATAAGAGACTCCTACAAACTCAGTTTGATACAGAAGTAGCAGAGAAACTACACTCAAAGAGCGATGTGAACAGGGTAGTGAGTATCCTTCAGCAGGGGGACTGGGGGACCAGTAAGAGTCAGACGTCCTCCTCATGCCCGCCATCCAGGCACCTTAGCACTGTGTGAGATTCTAGAACTGTGGCATGACTTTGTAGGGGAGTAGCAGGGTGTGGGGAAGGAGTAGGACTCCAAGAAAGCAGGGGATTAATTTTCCTATTAGCCCAGTAGGATGGCAACCTGAAATAGAATTTAATTTGTTCTGAAAATAACTATTGTAACTATTTCTTGTGCACCTGAATTTATGGTTATGATTCGTGCTTGTAACTTTCTTTACAATTTATAGCCACAGCTTTTTTTGCTTCATAATCGAATTTAGAATTTACTTTTTTTCCCCCTCAACTCTCAATTTTATTCTCTCAAGGGACAAGGACACCAAGGATTGGACTATCCTCTGCAGGTGTCGGATAGCCTTTGTGCAGGGACCAAATGCCCACCCCCCGGTTCCCATCCACTGTAAAGGCAGGTCTTGTGAGTTTCATTAACCTATTCACTCATCCATTCATAAATGTTTGCTGAACACCTGTTCAGTGTTGGGACAGAACAAGGATAGAGATTCCTGCCTTTCACGGTTTGAAGGAAAACACAGGTAAACACATCAGCAATGGCACACAGGGTGGCCAGGGCTGTAGTTAAGGCTGAGATAGATGACTGTGGGAGGTGACACCCTGCAGGGCTTTAGTTTGCAACATTGAGGGCAAACCTTGGCCTAAAATACTCCCCCACGGCCCCAGTGTTCAATTTTTCTCACTTCAGGAGCCGGAGATACCCACTTCACAAGCTCCCTGTGGGGGTTTTGGAGCCCATTGAGACCCACAATAGTCTGTTTACCTCCCTTAGACTGATAGCATCACTTTCAGAAGTCACTTTTAAATTGATGGCAATAATTACACTAGAGCTTATCACAAAACTATATTAAATTTTTCCCACTTAAAATTTCTCGGCTAAATGCTTTCCTTGACCCAATGACTTCTGGTTCTTATTTTCCTAATGCACACAATGTCTTTACCCTCTGAATTTTCTGCACATCTCTTGACACCCCGGGCTACTCTCTGCTCAGATTCATTCTCCAAAGTGTTTACTCTAGGCTGGATTTTAACCTTTCTTGATCTCAAACACATAAAGTCTGAATTTCCCCTTACTCCTTTCTCTTTCTGGTTCTTCATGTGGGTCCCCACACCTTCTTCATCTGCCGTGTGAGGCTGGGGGCTCTTATTCTGACAGATCTCAAGCATACTCTGTTTTCACCTACTTTGCTACCAAAGGAAATTTAGATGACTAAAAATAATCACTAGGAGAGAATTAGGGTCACTTTTATGATAATAATAATCTTTCAAGGAATAAAAGGTATGACTAGCTATCATAAGTAGTCAGAGAGACTCTAGAATTAGAGGATTTAAGTCCATGAAAGAAAGAAATTCAGAGGATCACAGATTTGCCTTAAGTGTTGTAGTGGCCAGTGACAGAATTCATGATGAATTTGTAGCACTGAGGTCTTTCATCTCCTTTGCATTTGTCTGTCTCTTCTTATGCCATTTCCTCCCCATCCACATTTTGCCCTATACTGTGTATGAAAGTAAGGTGAAAAGAACTGTAATTTTATTTATTTATGATCACATTTTATTTATGGTTCTAATTCAAATTATTATTCATTTTTCCCCATCGAGGGAGTCACATTTTATTTGGGGTCTGTATATGCAAAAAACTTGGAAATTTGTAGAAACTCATTGTTGAACGTCCCTGGACACGACTCAGAGGCTGATTGAGGGAAGGGCTTTAGGGAATCACTGTGGTTTGGCAATGAGAAGATGGGAAAATTAGCTTCAGGAAGAGGAAGAATTTCACCTCTATTTAGTGGAGGCAGCCGGTAAACATAGCCAATTGGTCTCCGGTGAAAGGGGAAGTGTCCTTTACCTGGACCTTTTTCTTTTGAGTGCCTATGTGGTGGGCCATGGCCACGGCGATGGTGATCTTGGGGACCTTCGTTATGGACTGGTGGGTCACAGGGTCCATAGTGATGGAAATCATGGTCATGGGGGCCGTGTCCATGGGGGCCATGTCCATGGGGGCCGTGTCCATGGGGGCCGTGTCCATGGGGGCCGTGTCCATGAGGGCCGTGTCCATGGGGGCCGTGTCCATGAGGGCCGTGTCCATGAGGGCCGTGTCCATGGGGGCCGTGTCCATGGGGGTGGTGCTCGTGGTCATGGTGTTCACTGGAATTATGATCATGGGGGTGCCTTTGGGTCTCATTGATGCCAAAAGGGTGGCGATGACATCTTGACCCTGGAGGAGGTGCACCTGCATCAAGTGGAGGTCTGCCTGCGTGATCTTTTCCTTCTGGAGGGGGTGGGCATCCCCAGTCATGTGGCTTGTGGGGGTGATGATGATCTCTGACTCCATCAGGCTTGAATGGAGGCTTGCCATGCCCATGACCACCGAAGGGGGGGTGGTGGCCCAGGTGTTCCTAGTCACAGACATAGAAAAGGAGTATCATCACGTAACACAAAAGGAGAAGTTAGATCTTTAACTTGATGTAGATCAATGGCTCCCAGTCCTTTGAATTCCACAAATCAATAGAAAAAGTAGGATAACAACAAAAAAAAAGTTCTCAAATTTTTATCTATCAAAGTTGACATTTAAAACACAAATGACTATCATCTACCACCATCAATTCACACACACAAATAACATTCTGATAAAAAAAAAAAAAGAGTCAGAAAGATAATCTCAGAGTATTGATTAGTCCTTTGGGTGGAATAAATGTTCTATATGAAAACTTTATTATTCTTACTTTTCTCATTTTGACAGAAAGTGGTGAAACTATATTTTGAAATGGTGCCCATCTGCAGACCAACATTTGGAAAATGAGTGACTTATAATAATTGATGTTCTCAAAAGAGTTCTGAGGTGATATCCACATGCTTTACTTCTAAAAGGTGATCACTTGGCCTCGTCCTTCTCCTCCTGTTCACACTAATTTTTTAAAAATCTATGGAGCTATGTTCATCACGACTAACTTGCTCTTTCTTTTTCTTTCTTTCTTTTTTTGACTTGAGACATGGATGGTTAGATTATTTTCAGTTTTTTTCCATATATAAAAAATTCTATGAAGAAAATCTTTGTGCTCACCCACAAAATAGAACAAAGATTTGTGGAACAGATGTAAAATATTGTTTTGCATTTTATTATATATACCATTGTTTAATAAATTTGAGGCTAATTTGTTCCCCTTAGGCTCTATGCCTAATAGTAAAAGCTAGGAATTACTAAATCTCAGCACCAGAGTCCTTAGAAGAACCATATTCAAATTCATTCAAGGCCAATTGAATTGGCCATGATTTTACTTTTCTGCCAGATCTTAGCCCTCCCTAATTCTTGGAAAGTTTTCACACTTTTTGTGTCATGCCAGCAATTGCACTTCTTTCCCCAGGGATCAGGTCTCTCTGTCTCTGTCCCTCTCTCTTTCTCTCACAGACCCCACACACCACACACACACAGCCATAAGAACCAAATACGCTATGTGTGTAATATCACTTAATCTGCCATTGCTTGCAAGACAGTCTACTTAGGCAACCAACCTCAGGGTTGAAGACTTCACAGTTCACATCAAGTTCTTTTGGGGTTTCCAAGTCAGAGTCTTCTACATCATAGAATGAAACTGCTCTGCAGAATGCAAAGACCTACAAGAGAAAGAGAAGCTTATTGGTGTGTGTGTGTGTATGCGTGCATGCTCGTGGGCATGTGAACAGGTGGTAGGAAGGTGCCCAGCCAGAGTTGTGAACTTTCAGATATTCAGGAAAGGAAGAACAGCTTTAGAAAAATCAAGGTAATATTATCAGATATTCCCACCAGTTATTCAATAATCTTTCACAATCAACACTTTGGGGAAAGTGCAGTGCAGATTCCAAAGGATCTCATTTCAAATTGCTGTGGTTCTCTTCCCTGACCAGTTCCCAGTGCTGGGCTTCCCCATGGCTGGTGGTAAGGAGCAGCACGTCATTGCTGCCTTGCCTTTAGGCAAGCCCTTCTGCAGAAGACCTGACTTGCCTGTGCCTAGAGGAATGAGGAATGGTGCAAAAGAGGGATTTTACGACTTTAACTGGTTCCTTGGAAGGAAGTGTTGGAAGGGAGGAGCCTATATACAGATGGATTTGCATGGACCCTGTCAGGGAAGTGTCTGCTGGCTCCACCCTACGTACAAGGGCTGCAGCGGCTGGCTGGCCTTCCTCCAGAGGCGCCAGGATCCAGGTGTGAAAGATACACTAGGACAAGAGGATGACTCTTCCCTAGAAGAAGTTGTTAAGCATTAAGGTTCTGAGTGCAGTTTGGGAATCAGATAGACCTATGTCAATCCTGGGCTCCCCACAAGCTAGTTGTATGAATTTAGTCAAATTACACAAAATTTCTGAAGCTCGGTCTTTATAAAATGGGGATAATACGGTGAACGCACAGGTTGTGGGAGGGCTTAATCAAATGAGATGGTGCTGTAAAACACTTAGCACTGAGCCTGCTCTCCCCCTCTCCCCTGGTTCTGCACTGTTTGTGTTCCCCACACAAAGATAGTTAAGGGTTTGTTGGGGACAGGGGTAGGCAGGATTCTAGAACTAGATAGGGTTGAAAATTTGAATAGCCAGAAAAGGAACTAACAAATACTTCTTCCCTTCTGGCCAGGGAATATACGTTGTTAAATCAGAAAAACCCTAGACTTGAAATTAGAATTAAAATTCTGTATCCTAACACTTTCTAGCTAAGTTCCCTTAAGTAAGTGGTTACAATTCTAGGTCCTCTTGTTGCAGAGAAATGGACGCAGACACCTGCTTTCTTTCTCAGCAGGATGGTCATAAGGTTCCAACTAGACAATGATATATGTGCAGGTGTTTTGTAAACTGCATGTCACCATGCAAATGTCAGGTGTTATTAACAACATCTTCCTGCAAGTACATGGGAATCAATTTGTGAATGATTAGGGGACAAATCCCACTGGACTATGTGTGGGAAGAACTGGATTTTAATTTCAGCTTGGACATGAACCTGGGTAAGACCCTTCCTTTGCTGAGCTTCAGTTACCTGCTCATTTGTCAAACGGGATCTGTGGGTGTCAATGAGATGGAGTGAATGGACTACTTGGTGTGTGGGTCTTATTACAAGCTCATTGTTAGTTTTAGGTAAGCCTTTAATTCTAATGGGTTAAAAAAAAAAAACCTCAGTTTTAAGTTTAGGCATATATATGTATCATGCACATTATAAAATCATATTCTCACAATTCAGTAATTTCTCAGTGGCTTGGTTTCCCCATCGGCAAACTTGGGATAAAAATAGTCTCTATCTCATATGGTAGAGTGAGGGCTCATTAAGCACTTAGCAGAGCACCTGGAGGGCAGTAAGCACTCTCTAGATGATACTAGCATTTCACAGACGTGTGTTACACTCACCTTATGGTGTCTGGGGAAATGGGGCTTGGAGCAGTTTCTTATAGAGAATTCCACGAAGTACTTGGTTCCTTTCCCTCCTCTCTAGAACAGATGGGATCAAAACGGTTTCAGGAACAAAGGAAAAGGGCGAAAAATCAATATATAACCTACTATCCAGTAAATTGTATTAATAAAGCAATATAAGGATTCAAAATCACCAATATGTGCCGTTTTTCTTCTGGTTTCTGTCTTTTAAAAATTGATCACTGAAGGGAAAAGGTGACTACCTACCATTTCATTGAAAAGATTCAGATAATACAGACACAACCAAGTACAGTGTGAAAACTCACTCTTCCTGCACCCCAACTTCTCCTGCTTAGAGGTACCACCATCATTCACTTCATGTGTTTCTCTTTTTAACCTTTTCCCAGATACAATGCACATATACACATACATCTAAGTATTTCATATAAATGGGCTCATATTCTTAAATATTGTTCTGTAACCTGCTTTTCCTTTAGCAATATGTCTTGAAACTCTTTCCAATACACATGGATCTGAAATATTCCTTTTAGTAACTGCATTGTATTCATTTCAGTGCTTGTATGGACCATAATCTATTTAACTTTGCGTTTTCAAAATGCATGAGAGACACCAACCAGCTGTTCTACAAGACAGCTCTGGGTGGGAGGCTCCTGAGTCTTAGGACAGGGAGGCAGGGAACCTTCTAGATTCAGCCACACCACTGGATGTGGGGAAGTAGTTTCTCTGAGCCTCAGTTTTCCATCCCAAAAGAAGGATGCCAATATTGGATAATTTTTTTTTTTTTTTTTTTTTTGAGACAGGATCTTGCTCTGTTGCCTGGGGTAGAGTACAGTGGTGTTTTCATAGCTAACTTCAACCTCAAACTCCTGGGCTCAAGTGCTCCTCCTGTCTCAGCCTCCCAAGTAGTTGGGACTACGGGACTGCACCACTATGCCTGGCTAAATTTTCTATTTTCTGTAGAGACAGAGTCTCCTTCTTGCTCGGGCTGATCTCAAACTCCTGGCCTCAAGCCATCCTCTTGCCTCAAGCCATCCTCTTGCCTCAGCCTCCCTAAGTGCTAGGGTTACAGGCATGGGCCACTGCGCCTGGCCAATACTGGATAATTTTTAATGACTCACATAACCCTACTATGCTGTTTTCTTTTTCTCTTTCCTTTTTGGATGTTCCCTCCTCTCTGTCACATATCTACTCCCACCCCCATGCATACACTCTCTAAAAATAAAAAACTTGCAGACAGCAGTTCTTTGGGACCTGCTGCCTGTCTATTACCGCCCCAAAGGCTGCAATGGGTCCTCAATTTAGAAGCAGCTGGTCATTCGAGGCAGGAAGAGAGGGTGTGCCGTTCACTTGGTGCCCACCAAGTGGGAGCCTGGGCCCTCAGACCGTAGCGGACGTGGTGGGGACTCACCGCTCTTGCAACTCTCTCTACTTTGTCCACTCTGAAAGAGGCGAAGTCACCATTCTCCTCTTTGTACTTCTCAAGGGCTTGGTTGGCTTGATTTCTGTAGAGCTCAGTGTCCTCAAAGAAGTCTGAGATTACAGGACTGTCTTTTTTATTGGTCAATGCTGAAGACACTAGATGAAGAAGATGGGAGTGTCGTGATTACTGGGTGGGAAATGGCAATGGTGACAAGAATAAGAATAACTTCATTTTACAGATGGGCAGATGGAGTGTTGGGGAAGCTAAATGACTTGTTCACGGTCAATCGGCCCCTCCACAGCAGAGCCAGACTGCTGCTCCTTCTTTCTGGTCCTTCAGATGCCCAAGTCTCTGCTGTGACCCCTCTTCACAATGTCCTCACCACTACCCCTCACAAAGTGCCAGCATTTTTGTGAATCTTCCGGCTTTGCCAAGGAGGAAGAGGCATCACGAAGATAAAGGTTTGCCCAGAGAGAAAGAAGATACATAGCTCAACCTTTCTTTAAGGCGATCTCCTACAGAAGTTGCTTGGCTGTTGAATATTTGCTATTTTTTGAAGGAATTCTGTGTAATTGATTTTGAAAATGTACATAAAAAGAGCATGGAGTTCAGAGTCAACACTGCCGGAACTGAGTTGTATCTTCACCACATCCTGATTGTGTCCCAAGGCCAAGTCCTTAAACATCCCAATTATTTCATCTCTAATATAGGTGGTATCCTAATCTTTACTTTGTAGCCTTGCTGTGAGATTAAATGAGATGATATGCATTTTGAAAACTGTTAAATAATACACAGCTTTTAAATGTTGAGGTCAATATTTATTGAGTGCTAGGAATGCTCTGCCAAGTGTACTACATGAACGAGAAACATCTTATTCAATTCTAACAAGAATCCTAAAAGCTAATGTTCTTATTATCCTCATTTTTCCAAATGAGAAAAGCTTGAAGAGGTTAAGTAGTCTGCTCCCAAAACTATACAACTAGTAAATGATGACGCTGGGATTCAAACTAAATAAATCTGACTATAATAAATCAAACTATAATAAATCTGACCTCAGAGCCTATGTCTCTACAATGATGCTATACTACTTTTTTAAAATCTCTATTTTTATGCATTGAAGTTCTTTAAAGAAAGGTGTACCAGTAACTGGGAAAAACTCTCTCCCTTCTGTTTCCAGGAAAGCGAGTGATATAATGCAGTCCATGTGGGTAGAAACTTTCTGTCACATACATCATAGTATTACATGAGGAATACCATGGTATGATTGAAGTCTATATTAACCTAGAATTAATGAGCAATTAAACAGATTACCATACCAGAACTTGTGGTGCAGTTAAAGTCAACCAGCCTAAGATCCTCGGATTCACTCGAATACCTTGTAGCTATTACCTTGCATTGTCCGATCACCTGTAAGAAAGAGGGTTTTGAGTCCTTGCTGGGTCATTGCACACGAGAGAACAAAAAGGTGATGCAGCACATTTCTACTATCCATTTAAAGTGTATTTGGGCTTTTCTTCATCAAACCCTGTCTCAAACCTGAGTTTCTTTAGTCTGTTTCTGTGTGCTGTGTAATATTGACACCCAAAATCCTCATGATGACTAGGGAGAAACTGCTTGAGGGATCATGACCATATCCCAAACATTTCGGGGGAAAAGAAGGCAAAACTCCTAGCTGTGTAAACCTCTTGTTTTCTGTAAATGAAATCTTATATCCGTGCTTACTTGTCTTTGTGTTCTCCTCCTGTACCAGAGAGTATAGTGTTGCAGTCCGACGTATAGAACAAGACCCTATTCCTCACTTCATGTACAATGTGCAGAACAAGACCCTATTCCTCACTGCATGTGCAATGTGCAGAACAAGACCCTATTCCTCACTGCATGTGCAATGTGCAGAACAAGACCCTATTCCTCACTTCATGTGCAATGTACAGAACAAGACCCTATTCCTCACTTCATGTGCAATGTACAGAACAAGACCCTATTCCTCACTGCATGTGCAATGTGCAGAACAAGACCCCTTCCTCACTGCCTCTAATCCCTTTGAGCATTCCTGTCACAGGACCAGTCTTGATAGGACACGATTACAAGTTCACAGATTCTTAGATACATAGACTGTCAGGGCTGGAAAAGATCCTAAGATCCTCCTCTCATTTTGCAGTTGAAAAGACGGAAGTCTAGCGATGCTATTAGGCAACGGGCGTAAGGCCTCGCATCTGATCCCACTATCATCCCATGGGGCCACAAGCCCTGCTGACATATCTTGAACTGGATTCCTAGGAATGGCTCTCAAGAGTACGAATCAAGGTCAACATAACCTTCCTGAGTCTCAAGGCAAAAGCTGCTCAATCTTACCTGGAGTAAGCAGAGTATATGGAAAGAGGAATGGTAAGAGGAGAGAATAGTACCCTGCATACTTACTATATGAGATGGAAATTTAAAAACATCCATCTCACAGTCTTTCCAGTGCTTCCTGGAGAGGACCGAGCAGTCAGATTCCTTCACATCCAAGACTAGATAATAGACAGTTGCAGGTCCCTGAGGAATGCCAAGAAAGCAGCAGGTGAGTAACACGTGGGAACCCAGAGGTTTTTTCTTAATGAAAGCTGTATCTTTATTTCCTAAACATAGTTCCTGTCCATCTCCCCATCTTTGCTGATGTACCTTTATGACATTTGATCTGCCCATTTGAATAAATAGCTTCAAACAGTTATTTCCAAATATTGTTAGTAAGTGGCCATGCTTTTCTTCTATCCACAAGCTTTGAAAAGCTATTGGTAAATGGCAGTGCTGATTTGGGTGGAGGTGTTGAAGGTACAGGGCTAGAATTACAAGTGATGACGGCCACATCATGGCCTCCAATATGTACTTGCAGTTTCATCCTAGCACCCAGTTTGATTCCTGAACTTGGATTTCTGCCTCCATTTCCATTTGCTGGAATTGATAATTCACTTTCTTCTCTTACAACCCAGCTACCTCTCTCAACTTTGCTTGTTTTTATCAGTGACACAATCAATTACTTATTGCTTTAGACTCTGGTTTAAAAAATGTAAATCGTGGAGGATGCCACCCACCCACTCTGTATACTGCCACTCAGAGGAGGGGCTGTGCCGACGCATCCCCTGTCCTGCTCATGTGGCAAGAGCCTGGGATGGGACTGACAGTCACTGAATTATTGGCTGCATCCCAAATGCTCCTGTTCTCGGCAACCTGCATCCCCTCCCTCTCTTGTACCTGAACGAGGGTCAGTCACTCTGTTTGTCCTCCATAGTACTCCATGGTCTGACCTTCCTGATTTCAGCAGTTCCACCCAAGGGCAGGGGTAGGTCTTTTTGTGGGAGGGGAGGAAGGCTTTAACTCTGACCTCAAAATCCAGTCCAGATAAGCTTATAATCTAAGTGAAGACAGTAGGCTTGCTTGGCTTCAAAATAAGCTCACAGTCTCTCTTCCAACCTGATGGCTGCCCCAGAGCTCACATAGAACTGCTGGAACCTCTGCTGCCCATGTTCCATCACTCCTAACAACCTTCTTCCTGACTCCTCCCCACCTAGTGTGGTGTGCCTGGAATTCACCTGGAAGGCCTCTACCCAGGCCCTCTTGCTATTCAAATCCTACCCATTATTAAGGACCAAACCAAAGCTTTCTCTCATCTAATCTTAATAAATCTTCTTTGATCCCATTGCTTTGGTATATTTACTACTCATTTGGTCTCTTGAATATTGTTGGGGCTCAGAACATGATCCCCCAAAGTTTGGTGCCGGGGCATGCTGAGTGCTGTGAAGGGAAAGAAACTGAAAGGGCCTCTGGAGCAAGATCTGTCTGCCCTTCACTCACCTTCCTTTCTCCTGCTCCCCTTTCTCCCCAAGGCAAGCCACAGAAACTACAGTTCCACTTCCCCAAAGCGGGTCATAGAAACTAGAATCCCTCTCCCTCAAAGCAGCCATAAAACCTAGAAAAATGACTGTACCCTTTCCCCCAGGCATTTCTGTGAAGGAGCTGTCTAAAAGAAATCCTCTGACCTGTCTGCAAGTAGTTAATAAGACCTGCCTTCTAGAAGGGTCCTGTTCCATGCTTGGGAAAAACGAATTCCACACAGAGAGGCCAAGAATAATCTGAAAACAGGTCTTGCTGGGTTTCCTCCCTTCTGTCATCATTGTATCATATCCTATTGTGTAGTCACATTTCTACACAGCTGTTGTTTTGTCATGAATTTAAGCATACAGACGACAGCTTCCCGCGGATCTGTGCATCTTCATTTCTGAAGGCGCTCATGTCAAGTAAAACTTTTATTAAATAAGTTTTTATGTTTTCTCCTATTAATATGTCTTTGTTAGTTTGATTTCAGTCTCAGGAACCCTAGGAATGTTGAGAAAACTCTTTCTCCCCCCACCCTCAGTTTATCCCATCATGCACAGTTTGCCTTTAAGTGTCAGCAGACTATTATTTCCTTGAAGGCAAGGCCCACAGTTTATTCTAATTTTTTTCTATCAGTACTTAATATTTCACTGGGCTCAGCTAAGTACTTGTAAGTACTTACAGATTGATTCTTAGTTAAGGTCTTACTAATAATAAACATTAGTCTGAAGTAACAAAGAACAATCTAGAGCAGCCACAGAAACTAAACAGAAAACCCTGAGCAAAGCCATTCACTGTGCAAAGCAGTAGACCCAGAGGGTAGAGTCACGTCTGCCCCTGGTGCATGGCCACCCAGCTCAGCTCTGCCATCCATGATTCCTCACCACTCTGTCCAAGTGGGCATCATCAACGCGCAGCAACTGGAAAAGGTAGCCATCCCGCCGCCATTTATTGATCAAGTCTAGAGCTTTCCCAGCCTCTGGCTCAGTGGCATTGCAGTCCGTGGGACTCACAGCACATGAACACTGCAGTGACATCAAAAGCAGCACTGCAGTGAGTGCCTTCATTTTGTTAAACTGTCCCTTGCTATGGTCTACTCCATAGAATTTTATATAGACGCTCTGAAACACACACACCACAATTGATTAAACAAAGTCTTTGTACATTTTCGTTGTATAACTGGGAATGTTCACCTTGACCCCTGGTTCAAATATCCGTCAACAGGCTGTAAATGATTAGTGGATCCTTGGGACGGAAAGTTGAGAAACACGGCTGGTGAGTGGGTGAAACAGTGATCTGCACATATCAGGATATGTTTAGCAGGTCGCAGATCCAAAGTGTGTCTCTGACCATAAAAACTGCCTATGTTGGTGTGGGGGATGCGGTTGGGGGCAATTTTCCTCCATCTGCCCATGTGCCTCGGCTGGAAATCCCCACCACCAGTCCTCTCTTGGGATTTTGGCACTAAAACTCCTCAGTGTGATACAACTGTGTTATCTAAGGGAGGTGACGTGTTAAACAATTAACATTATAAAAGGAGGTAAAATAGTATGATTAAGAGGCTGTTGCTTTGGAATCAGACTCTAATTTCCAACCCTGGCTCTCTTACTGTGTGATGCTGGGTAAGCAACAAAACTTCTCTGATTCTTAGTTTCCTCATTTATAAGATAGAGATTAATATCTTTTTGCAGGCTCATGTGATAATTACATAAGACAAAACCAATATAAAGCAACCAATACAATTCTTGGCACATAATAGGTGCTGAATGAATGGTGTTATTTATTATTATTATTAGTGTGCCTGGGAATAAGTTGGGGGCCATGCCATCCCAGTTCTCTGTGGCCCTTAAAGCATGCAAAAAGAATTGGTTCATGTGGAAGAGAACGGTGGTGAGAGCAGAAGCCAAACAACTGGATGCCCATCCCACTGGGGGGGGCTCAGCACTGGGGGACAGGGCTAGGATACAGCTGACCCCCTACCCTCAGCCCTCTGAAGAAACCAATATACCTACCTGGAACCTTCACACGAGCAGAGGTATATATACCAATATATCTACATGGAACCTTCACGCCAGCAGCATGAGAATGGACCAGAGGGAATCATCCTAGGTTCCCTCCCCACTGCCAACAAACAGCCAGTCTCTTAGGCAGCATCTCCCTTCCTCCCTGCTCTTTCTCTAAAGTGGTGTCCATGAGGGTCTACAGCAATGGCTCTCGGCCAGGTCTTCATATTAGAATCACCCGAGAAGCTGTAAAAAATCTTGATGTCTAGGACTCCCTCCAGCACAATTCGATCAGAATCTTTGGGGGTGGATCCAGGTATTGGTAGTTTTAAAATTCCAGAAAATTCTAACGTGTACAGTCAAGGTTGAGAACTAGTGGGTCTCTATGCAGAACTCAAGGGAGGGAAAGAATTTGAAGACAGAGAGAAAAGGGATGAGGTATATGAAAAGTAGTCCTCACTTCCAAGAGTCACAGATTGGGTTCATAAGTGCTAAAAATGGAAGAAACAAGTTTTGAGTAATGTTTGAAATTGAACTTTTAATATCAACACCACTGGCTTTTAAACACCCAAGTGGGACAACTCTGTGTAACTTAGAATGACAGGAACAATACGAACTCAGGTCAAGGTGTTGTTCAGAGCCTCAATGAGGCAGAGGGAAAGCTATTGATTGAAACAAAAACTGTTTTGTGTTTCAATGAGTTGAGCTCCTTAATTAAGCCTTTCTATTATTGCTATATTGGCTGAACCAGTATGGGGTGCCCTGGGTGAACCAAATGCCGGGAATGTTGAGCTGGGAAGAGGCACCAAGAACAGGAGTATCCTCTTCCTACAGCGCTGTTTTGTGGAGACCATGGGCTAAATGGGGAAGCCATATATCCTCTTCTTTTTGCTTTACTGAATCTTCACACAGCTACAGTGCTAACAATGTCATTCTAGTAACCTGGGAGCTTCAGGTGAGATGTTTGAGGGAGCACATTAAAGGTGCTGGGATGCTGATGGTTGGGAAGAGACAGATAATGGTGAATAGGAGAGATATTGTATGCTGAGGAACAGTCTGATGATCTAGGAAGTGACCAGTGAATGGCCTCAGATGTGAATTGAGATAGGAGCAGTGACTGTTCCCAAATGGTATCTGGGGCACACTGGGGTGGGTGGACTTCACGTTCTCATTCCAGCATTCAGGTTCTTTCTGGGTGTCTTGGCCATATGATCAGAAAAAAGCAGCTAACAGAATTTTTATTCTTTAAAGCTTTTTGACTCATAATAGAACATATGCTCTTTGCAAAAAATATAGAAAATATAAAATGTATAAAGAAAATTCACCCATAATTTCACCATCATGACAAAAATCAAATATTATAATATAATTTCTTCATAGACTTTTTTCTATTTGAATATATGTAATATATACCTTTTGCATCATTGGAATTATTCTACATAGACAGGTGTTTTTTTCCCTCCACTGTGGTTGAGTATTTATGTACCTATAACCTTCATTTTTTTAAGTATTAATAAAACCATGTAAGCTTTATAAATGTTCTTTTTAAAATAAGATTTTAAAAATTTGGGTTATTTTAATTGTATGGTTTTTAGTCATAAACATAACCTCTGCACAAAGTAAAAAGACAAGCAAACATGATATTCTAAAATAAAATTAAGTCTCTTTTTCCCACCTCTCACATCCCAAACCTTTTCCCAAGGGAAGAATTTTTAATAATTCCTTGTTATATATGGTTTAAACATTATATTTCCCCATAAGGCTATACTGTGAGGACTGTCTCAGATTATTAAATAGTCTTCAGAAAGATTATTTTGAAATTATGTGATATTGTATGTTAAATGTGTGTTAATGTATTTAACTTTCCCCTATTTTTGGCCATGTTTGTTACTTCCCATTATTTGTTCTTATACATAATGTTGCAGGGCAGAGCCTTATAAGTCTCTGATTATTTCTTTGAGAATCACTAGATTGGTTGAAAGAATTTTTTACAACATTCAGTTTTTTTAAATAGGAGTCACTTTTTAAAGAAGTTTCCATTTTTATCAGGCTTAATGTATACATTTTGTTAATTTACATTTAAAAAATAAGAATTATATTTTATATTATATACATTATATTTATATTAATTATATACTTATATAAATATAAATTTATATTAATTAATATATAAATTAATTTTGTGGAGTTCATGGGCTACCTGGGGAAGCCATATATCCTCTTCTTTTTGCTTTACTGAATCTTTACACAGCTACCGTGCTAACGATGCCATTCTGGTAACCTGGGAGCTTCATACACTTATATTTATACACTTATATTTATATTTATGTTTTAGGTTCACAGTAAAATGGAATGGAAAGTACAGAGAGTTCCTATATACCCCCTACCCCTGCTCCCCACACCACAGTATCCCCCACTACAACTTTTGAACCAGAGTGGTATATTTGTTACAGTCGATGTACTACTTATAATGACACAGCATTATTACCCAAAGGCCATAGCTTATATTAGGGTTCACTTTTAAGGTACATTCTATGGGTTTTGACAAATGTATAATGACACGTATCCACCATTACAGTATTACACAGAATGGTTTCACTACCCTAAAAATCCTCTGTACTCCACCTATTCATCCCTCTCTCTTTGTTAACCCCTGGAAACCACTGAGCTTTTTACTGTCTTCCTAGTTATGCCTTTTCCAAAATGTCATATAGTTGGGATTATATAGTATGTGGTTTTTAAAGATCATCTGCTTTCACTTAGTGGTATGCATTTAAGTTTTCTCCATGTATATTCATGGCTTAATGTTTCATTTCTTTTGCCATTGTCTGGATGTACCACAGTTTATCCACTCGACTACTGAAGGATATCTTTGTTGCTTCTAAGTTTTGGCAATTATGAGTAGATCTGCTGTAAACACCCACTCCTGAGTTTTTGTATAGACATAGTTTTCAACTCATTTGTGTAAATTCCAAAGAGTGTGATCGCTGGATCATATGGTAAGAGTATGTTTACCATATTGTAAGAGTTTTGTAAGAACTGCCAAATTGCCTTTCAAAGTGGCTGTAGCATTTTGCATTCCCATCAACAAGGAATGAGAGGGTTTTTGCTCCACATCCTTGCCAGCATTTGGTGTTGTTATTGTTCCAAATTTTGGAACAATAGGTATGCGGTAGTATCGCATTGTTGTTACAATTTGCATTACCTTGATGACATAAGAAGTTCAGTGTCTTTTTATATGCTTATTTGCCATCTCTATATCTTTTTGGTGAAGTTCAGATCTTTTGCCTATTTTTTTAAATTGGGTTGCTCATTTTCCTATCATTGAAAATGTCACTTTTAAACATTCATCAGATCTAATCTTTAATACCATAAAACTAGAAATGTCCAACTCCAGAAGTTTCAGCACAGATTAGTGTTGGCAATTTGCTAACACTGATTACTTAAACACAAGGGACTTAAACCAGTAATGACTGCAACATTTTGAGAGGAATGACAAGAATGTGGATTAGCTTGCCTTCATGGAGTTTGCAGAGTAAGAGAAGATCAAGTACTGGAGGCCAGAGAAACAGCATCAAAGGAGTGAGGCAGAGGAACCCAAGGTGGGGTCTGAGGGAGAGTGGTCAGAATGGTAGGAGTAAAACCTGGAGGATGTGGAACAAAGTGTACTTGAGAAAGTTTGAAGAGCGAGCAAAGGCCAGCATTGCCAGATACTTGAAAGAGTAAATAAATGTGAACAGAAATGCTTCCTTTGAATTCAGAATAAGGAGGTCGTTAGAACACCAAGTCAGTGGGTTATGGAAAAAGGGATGAACTCACATTGCACTGACTGGAGGAATGGATAGGTGGTGAGGAAGTCGCAAGCGTGGGGACAGTCCATGTGTTAGCCATAAGAGAAAGGAGGTGGTAGTAAGAAGCAGACAGAGTCAAGGTCCTTTCCTACCGTTTTTTAGTACAGAAGGGTGGTGTAGACCTCCCTTGGGGAAATCCCATTTGGGGCTCTCAATGGTTTTTCTCTTTGCCCAGGTCCATCCTTGGGCTTTCTCTGCCAGGCCCTGTCTCCCAGGCTGACTCCAGGGGTTGAACAATTCAGGCTGCCCTGCTGGCTACTTTCAAAGAGCCAATGGGAGGAGGAGATTGGAAGGAGGCCGGGAAGGAGGGGAGGGCAGGGTCCTCCCTCCCTCAGGGCACCCCTCCCCTAGAGCACCCCTCAGGCGGCTCCTCCTCCACAGGGGCAGTTCACTGTGGGCTGGGGAGGCCACCCACTCCTCCTGCTCAGCCTGGCTGGTGAGGGCTGCCTGCAGTCGCTGTTGTCCAGGTGCCTCCGCATCCCTTGTCCTTCCCTTGGCCTGGCCCGCAAGGCTTCAGGAAAGTTCCCTTCTCCAAAGTCTTTTCAGTGGAGCCACCTGAGTACAATTCTGCTTCTTTCCAGACCCCAACTGAAACACCATGTAAGACCCCACAGGACGCCCCCAACATAATCATTTTCCGTTCCCATGGGAAGCAAGCAGGTAAGAGTGGTGGAGTGTGAGTTCTGTCCACTGCTCTTATGCAAAGTACGCCAAGGCCTTTTCTAGGAACAAGTGCCAGGATAAAGGGCAACAGCTATATTTGCAAAGTCTCTGTCCAAATGTCAAAAGTACTATCTGGGGTGTGTGTGTGTGTATACACACATGTCTATTTCTAATTGAGGGGAAATTTGTCCTACAGGGAAGACTATGATTGACTGTCATAATGGGACCTCTACTGTCTGTCCTGAGAGAATTGTGACAATGATCAATGTAGCACTGAGAACTGCTGTGGTCTGGTGCCCCACAGTGCCCAGCACAGGCCGCAGGCACACGGCCCTCCTCTGTATTTGAAATATTTTCAAATACAGAGTTTCACAGGGAGAGCCCTACAGTCCCTGGTACCAGGCTAAGTTGATCTGTGTCTTTTTGTTGGAATGTTTCAAAGGGAGACCAGGTAAGAGGGAGGGGGTCCTGGTGAAAGGGTTAAAAACAAAACAGACAAGGGCCAGGGGGAACCAAGACCTGTGGAAACTTGACTGGAGGTCTCACAAATGTCATAACGAGACAGTTAGGTGGCCTGTCCACTTGCCCTCTCCACTGTACCAGGCTGCTTATTCAGTGCTTGACATCCTGGAGAGGAATTGAATGCTTCCCTGGGAATGAGTTCTCCCTAGAGTTCCAGTTAAAGCTTCTTTGGAACACTGAATTTAGTGCCCATAGCATTGACCTAAAGGACTCTTGCTTTATTTTGCATGACTGTGCTAGGCCCAAAGAAAGTATGACAGCCTTATGGGTCTTTTGTCAGCCACCAAGTGGAGCTGGCTTGCAGCAGTGTGGGTAGGAGGAGAGTCTGGGACTTGGAAAGAAAAGAGGAAGTGGGACTGGGGCAGCTAAAAGATAGACAATAATTTTTTTCTTTCCAGGAATCCTACCCAAATGATTGAAAAATAGCTGTAGTTCAAAGATTTTGCAAGACACTGAAACAAACTTCTTCATCCTTCCTGTACTTGCAGAGGCTTGGCAAAACCCAATAAGCTGAAGTTAAAATAAATGTAATTTCCCATGATCGTTGAGCTTCACCATCACCCTGATAGGTGAACAAGTTGCTTTGCAGTGCGTAGACACGCTGTCCTTGGCATGTTTTTCACTCCTTCAATACATCGGACAGTCACTGTAGCTCTCCCCTCTACAATACCCCACCCTCCCGCCAAGTCACCATCTAGACTAGACACAAATACTTCCCAGGATGGAGAATTCGCTCCATGTTAGGAGAACTCTGATGTTTAGAAAATGATTTGATTGAATTACACTGAAAGCTATCTTATATAACATTCATCTCTTGTTCCTGATTCTACATTTGGTGTCAGCAGAAGAATCGATTGATTTTTTTACATAACAGCCTTTTATATCTCTGAAGACAGTTTGAAATTTCTCCAGTTAGAACCATTTTCAGGTGTTTTAATTCTTATTTATTTAAAAATAAACTAATTTAAAAGTAATAAATGTTTAATGTAGAAAATATAGAAATATAAACAAAAAGGAAGAAAAGAAATCATCCAAAATTGTACCACTCAATGATAGCTATCCTTAATATTTTTATTTATATTTTTTGTTTTTTTCTATGTCTTTGCTTTTCTTTTACAGAAATGATATTGTATCATATTGGCTTATAAAACTGTTTCCTTTAATATATTGTGAAAATATTTCCATGTCTTTAAATATTCTGTGATCTTTTAAACTGCTACCTAAAATTTCATCATGTAAATGTACCATTTTTTTTAAACAATCTTAATTTTCTTTTTTGAACATTAGGTTGTTTCTATAATTATAAATGAATTTACAATAGACAGGCTTTCGTTACATATGTGATTATTTCCACAGAATAAATTCCTAGGAGTTGGCTTGTTAGATTAAACCATATATACATTGTCAAGTGTAACAGAATGTTGAACAGGGCTCCTAGTGCCTTAGAATGTTTGCTAAAACGTCAAAGCTGAGAAAAACAAGTGATGAGTATTCTACATTTAGTAGAGCTCCTAGCCAGAGAACTTAAGGGGAAGTGGCCAGACGGCCTGCAACCATTACCCAGATGATATAAAAAAATTAGGAACCCCCTCTAGTGGGAAGGTTCGCTGCAATAGGGAATCCTTGGTGAATGGTGCTACAGATTTTCCCCTCTCTATCCCTTCACCAAGTCAAGGTGGAGGACTCTAAGAGATCCTCCTGGAGAAATTCAGGATGTGGGCAAAGAGTAGGGCCTGGCCACTCCCTCCATGGATGGTGCTTATTAGCTGCTGAAACTGGCAGGTCCACCCAGTACTGACACCAGAACCTAGGCCAGCGAGACAGGTTGTGGGTGAGTTTGGCGTGTGTCCCCACACATGGAAACTGATGCATTGTCTGCTTCTCAGAGAATTCTGAAGGTGAGTGACCAGGATGGCAGGATGAGAAGAAAGGGCAGAAGGAGCAGTCTGTTCTCACTGTTGAGAATAGCAAGGATGTGTGAGAGTTCTGTGAGGCGGGTGTCCTGGGTCCAAGGGGCAGCCTGCCAATCCAGGGTGCGCTTAAGGGCCTTTTGAGGGTAGGAGCTGAGGGGATGAGAGGTGGTGGGCCAATAGGCTAAGGAAGAACTTCCTGAAGGACTCACCTCCTATGCCCTATTAAAGAGCCAGCACTGGGGACTGTCATATAGAAGGCATCAATGAGATGCCAGTGTTGACCAAGAGAGAATGACTACAGAAGGACCAGTTATGTAAAAAAGACTTGTGACCCTTTCTTTTAATCTCATCTCCTCCATGTGAACCTGGAGGAACCAAAGTTACAGCAAGAGAGATTTTGGTTAGAGAGCAGGAAGGGGAGAAAAAAGGAAAAAATAAACCTTGACACTTTCCCCATGGTGGGACCTGAGTCAAAGGCCAACTTCATGCTGAAGTGAGAGCACTTGTGAATTGTGAGTGACATAGATGTTCAGGTTTAGACTTGACTAAACTTCTTAATACCTCAACATGAATCTCAGTTGCTTAAATAACATTGTTCTCATAGACAAAAGTGACTGGGAAGCTATGAGATATAACCAAGAGGTTATTAAGAAGTGGGGAAGAGAGTCTGGGCCCGGTGGCTCACACCTATAATCCTAGTACTGTGGGAGGCCAAGGTGGTAGGATTGCTTGAGGTCAGGAGTTCAAGACTAGCCTGAGCAAGAGCAAGACCTTATCTCAACTAAAAATAATGCACCTATAGTTCCAGCTATTCGGGAGGCTGAGGCAGGAGGATTGCTTGAGCCCAGAAGTTTGAGGTTGCAGTGAGCTATGATAACACCACTGCACTCTACTTGAAGCAACAGAGCAAGACCCTGTCTCATTAAAAAAAAAAAAAAATGAAGTGGGGAAGGGAGATCCCATAAAACAGGTTTGAAGGTTGTTTTTTCATGATTCCCAGAATGAGGTTAGAATATGCAATAAATCAGTTTTGTAAGGATTTTCATGTGTATTGTTCAATTGTCTGCCAAAAGCTTATGCCAATTTATACCTCCAAGAATGTTCCAGATAGTGTCCAGGTCCTCTCCCCATCTGGGGTACATTCCTATGAATGAATGCCAATTTGACTTTGTCCTCTTCGAAGGGGGTCTCATGGAATGGGACAACATGCTGTACTGCAGGTATAACCCCATCTGTTCAGATCAAAGCAGGGCATTGCGTAAATACTCTCTTTATTTTACTGCCTCCTATGACCACGTTTTTGCAACTGTATCACATTGCAGACAGAAATTGATTTAGGCTCAAAATTGATTAGAGTTACATAACGTCAAGTGTTACACATTCTACCAGTCTCTTCCCGTTTTCACACTTGGGCAATAGATTAAGTCTGAACTTGAACTTATCCTTCTTACCTGGTGCACCTTCACACTGCATCCCCTGCTGAACCCTCCAATCAGACCAAACTTTGGAGTGTCAGTCTCTTCCCCTCCTGCATTTTAGTCATAAGGTCACATGCTATCAAGACAACTTCTTTATTTATCGATTGATTTTAGAGACAGATCTTGCTCTGTAGACCAGGCTGGAGTGCAGTGGCCCAACCATGGCTCACTGTAGCCTCCAACTCCTGCCTTAAGCAATCCTCCTGCCTCAATGTCCAAAAGTGCTGGGATTACAGGTATGAGCCACTGCACTCGGCCAATATCGTTCACTCTGCTGGATTCATAAAATTTCACATTAGCCTATGAAAGTATTCCCAGAATAACCAAAAATCAAATGAAAACTGACTAAATGATTTTCAAGCATCTTCTACAGTCATCTTGAAAGGATCATTTCTGAGGCCCTTTAGGTTCCATAGTTTAAGGTAGGTATTTCTTTTTACATGACACACTTTTGAGCTCCTGTATTGTAATTTATTCTCCCAAGCCTCACTAAAATAAAACAAAACATACCAAAAAAGCTCTCCCTCCATTGCTTCTACAGTCTACCTTAAACACACATCTGGAGCTTTGATTCCTTTCTCACAATTAAAAAACTGGTGTAAGCTTACAGAGGATCTTGGAAGCATAAAAGATGTATGTATTCAATATAGAATTTTTGGTAACTTTGCAATTCTGGTCTCCCTGACCACATACTGATACTTCTGGAAACACATCTGTTGTGTAAACTTTGTTCTGTCCACAAGCCTTAGAATAAAGACACCTGCCAGGACATTATAAAAAGGGACATGTAAAAGATGGCAGACCTCGAGCAATCTTCACCCTGCAGAAAGAGGGCGCCTGGTTGCCTTCCCTAGAGCCCTTACCAGTTTATGAAAACAAGCACTCACCGATTCATGCAAGCTCTGCACCCTACAGTCCTTCCATGCCTTCTTGCTGAGCACATGGCAGTTGGTCTCTAACACATCCAGCGTGAGATAGAACAGAGATCCCAGGCCATCCTGTGGAAAGGGGTAGAAAAATGCATCGCATCCCACAGGAAGCAGAAACCCATAAATTGCACAAAGCAGTCTCTGCTTTATGAGAGCAGAGTGTTCTCAGCAAGATTTCCAATTTGGAAAGCACCTCCCAACATGCGTCTCTGAGTTTCCTGCTCATCCTGGCCAGTCTCTGTAGTGTGTCCAAATGCTTGCCCCAGAGGGGACCGTCACTTGCCTGTCTGTGGCAGAGGGAGGCTTCCTGGAGACATGAGCCTGGGCTGGTGGGAACCTGGGAGTGAGCATTTATAGAGTTCTTGCTGTGGCCATTCTGTCAATAGCTGTTGCATGTCTTCACAATTTATTTCTTTGCATTGCTTAGTCGTATTGTATGGCAATAATGCACCACAGTTTGTTTAACCACGCACCTGTTGAAGGGCATCTGTGTTGTTTCCAGTTTTAGACTATTATGAATAAAGCTGCAATGAACATTTGCTTACATGTTTTTGTATAAACATAAGTTTTCATTTGTCAGGGATAAATGTCCAAGAACACTATTGCTGGGTCACATGGTAAGTGCATATGTCTTTTTATAAGAAACCGCCAAGCTATTTTCCAGAGTGGCTGTGCCATTTTGCACTGCCACCAGCAATGGATGAATGAGTGCTCTAGCTTCTCAGCATCCTTGTCAGCATTCAGTATTATCACTATTTTTTATTTTAGCAATTCTAATAGTAGTAGTGATAGCTCATTGTGATTTTAATTTGCATTTTCTTGATGGCTACTGAGGAAGAGAAAACGGAGAAGAAATCTGAAGGGGAATGGGCTGACAGGTAGCCGGAGAACCCGTAGTGAGTGGCAGAGACAACTGGAGGAAAAGCGTCAAGGAAGGGAAGCTCGGCAGTGTCAGACCCTTCAAAGAGGGTAAGTGTGGTTAGGAATGCTTCCTTTGGATTTAGAATGAGAAGGTCCTTAGGAAACGCCAGACCGGTAAGTTATGGGAAAAGAGCTAAACACCCATTACAGTGGGTTGAGGAATGAAACGCTGGTGAGGAGATGACACGCATGGGAACAAATCGCTTTTCAAGAATTCAGCCATGAAAGGACAGAGGTAACCTAAGACTGTTTCTGACTTGCTAAATCACAGCAAGTGACCAGACTCTCCCACACTCCATGCCCTCTTTTGATAACTCTTCTGCTGTCACAGTCCCAGATACCAGGTCCCAACCCAGATTTCTCTCTTCTCAGTAACATGCATGTGCACGGCCATCTCCACCAGGAGGTCCAAAGGCACTTCAAGTTCCCCACACCCAAAAGTCAACTCAACAACTGTCCAGTTAAGCCCTCTTCTCCTCCTGCATGCTCTGTCTCTGCAGATGGTGCCCTTGTCCATCCAACAGGGGACACACAGAGAGGGACACAAAGTCACGGTCTTTCCCTACCGTTTTTCAGTACAGAAGGGTAGTGTAGACCTCCCTTGGGGAAATCCCACTTGGGGCTCTCAATGGTTTTTCTCTTTGCCCAGGACCATCCTTGGGCTTTCTCTGCCAGGCCCTGTCTCCCAGGCTGACACCAGGGGTTGAACAATCCAGGCTGCCTTGTTGGCTACTTTACTGTAGGGTACAAAGAGCCAGTGGGAGGAGGAGATTGGAAGGAGGCGGGAGGGGAGAGGAGGGAAGGAGGGGAGGGGAGGGCAGGGTCCTCCCTCCCTCAGGGCACCCCTCCCCTAGAGCACCCCTCAGGCAGTTCCTCCTCCACAGGGGCAGCTCACTATGGGCTGGGGAGGCCACCCCCTCCTCCTGCTCAGCCTGGCTGGTGAGGGCTGCCTGCGGTCGCTGTTGTCCAGGTGCCTCCACATCCCTTGTCCTTCCCTTGGCCTGGCCCGCAAGGCTTCAGGAAAGTTCCCTTCTCCAAAGTCTTTTCAGTGGAGCCACCTGAGTACAATTCTGCTTCTTTCCAGACCCCAACTGAAACACCATGTAAGACCCCACAGGACGCCCCCAACATGATCAATTTCCGTTCCCATGGGAAGCAAGCAGGTAAGAGTGGTGGAGTGTGAGTTCTGTCCACTGCTCTTATGCAAAGTACGCCAAGGCCTTTTCTAGGAACAAGTGCCAGGATAAAGGGCAACAGCTATATTTGCAAAGTCTCTGTCCAAATGTCAAAAGTACTATCTGGGGTGTGTGTGTGTGTATACACACATGTCTATTTCTAATTGAGGGGAAATTTGTCCTACAGAGAAGACTATGATTGACTGTCATAATGGGGCCTCTACTGTCTGTCCTGAGAGAATTGTGACAATGATCAATGTAGCACTGAGAACTGCTGTGGTCTGGTGCCCCACAGTGCCCAGCACAGGCCACAGGCACACGGCCCTCCCCTGTGCCCCACCTCTAAGTGAGTTGCCCACTGCTGAGACCCAGAGCCGTTCAGACAGATGCCAGGGGCAGTGGGCTGGTGCTGGTGTGGGCAACCCCCAGCTAAGGCCTGGCATGTAACTGCAGGGAATGCAGACAGTGATCCCTGCTGGGTCTCAGGGTCTCATAGCCCTTGGTATTAGAGAAAGTATCTTTCTTCATGGGAATGCCTCGTACTAAGATTGGAGCTGCTGAAAGGATAAAAGTGTGTGTAAGTGAGTGGCTGGAGACACGAGAGGTGCATTTCTCCATGGCATGAGACATGAGACGGGGTCAGTTTAGAGGGGACGCAGCCCCTGGGACAGGGCGGCACACAGTGCAGAGTGCAGACCACGTGGAGGGTTGAGGCTCTTTATTTCCATTCTCAGCCAACATGCCGGGAAGAAGAGTGAAAAAGATGTCCCTCATTAGCCACTCTCTACATTTGGACTCACTGTCTCTGTCCCCACCACCTGTCATCTCATGCGGAGCACCACACTCCCATGGAACCCTGTGTGGCTCTCACGGTGGGAGGACAAGAGGGCTGGCCTCCTGGGCTGCTCCCGGGCACTCGGCAGAGCGTTGTTCCTGTCCGGGGAAAGGCAGGACAACCAGCGTCTGCTTCTCGGGCCCCAGGAAGAGGAAGGAGACATCCAGGGTTTCTCCCCCGGGGTTTGTGGTTAGATCCAGCTGCACAGGAAAGGCCTCATGAGGGTTCTTTTCCTGGGAATTGTTGGGGTTTTTATCATCCAAGTCGGGAAGGTATTGGACAGATCCTTTTGGCCCAGCTTTGTAGGGGGAGGCAGCGAGAGACGTGTTTTTCCCCTGGGGTTCCTGAACCTTGGGGAGGTTCACAGGTTCTTTTTTAATAGCAGAGTTTTCATGTCCGGGGGCTGGAGCCTGTAATAAGAACATTTTCAAATGCAGAATTTCATAGGAAGAGCCCTGCCATGCCTGGAACCAGGCTAAGCTAATCTGTACCTTTTTGTTGGAATGTTTCAGAGGGAGACTGGGTAGAAGGATTGGACTTCCGGTGAAAGGGTTAAAAAGCAAACAGATGGCAGCCAGGGGGAACCAAGACCTATGCAAACTTGACTGTAAGTCTCCCAATTTCAGAGCTGAACAATGACTCAAAGTGATCTGATGACTTGCTCAAAGTCCTCAATGAGCTGTCTTTCTGTTCCCAGCAGTGGCAGCAGCAGATGCCGTTCACTGGTTGTTTTTCTGCCCCAGGCCCTGTGTTTTGCTCTTCATTCAGGTCCTTTCACTGGCTTCTCACAGGGCTCGGAATGAGGCAGACATTGCAATCCCACTTTAAAGATGAGTCTACCAAGACTCAGGTAGCTACTTGCCTATTGTCACACAGCTCACAGGTGGCAGAGCCTGACTGGACCCCAGGTGGCCTGTCTCAACTGCCCTGCCAACTATACCAGGATGCCCCATAGTAAGAGCTCAATAAGTACTTCTGGAAGGGGAGTGAATGTTTTTAGGAAATGACTTCTCCCAGTGGTTTGGGGTAAGGTTTCTTCGGGACACTGAATTTAATGCTCCAGAGGCTTGGGCCATCCAACCCAGTGGTTCCCTGTTTTTGAATGTGTCTTCCCTGTTCTCTAGGACCACATGTGACTAAAACAAAGCCGGACAGGTCTTTGACCAGGTACCCTGTGGGTGTGGGCTTAGGGCAGCCTGAGTAGAGTGGTGATCATGGATCTCAGGAAAATCAAAGGAGGGGCTGGGGTCGTGGCAGCTAAATATAGACAATCTGCTCTTCTTTACAATTAGATTGAAAAATACCTGTGTTTCAAAGAAGTCACAATTCACAGAGACAAATGTTCGGTCTGATTGAGCCAAAGAACCTGTGCAAAGACCAATGGGCTAAAAGAAAGAGAAAATACAATGTCACATGAGTATTATCAATGATCGTAAAGGGAAATCAGCTTGCTTTCTGCTTGTGTAGACACACAGCCAATGGACGTTTTTATGCTCCTGCCCTGTAGTAGGTGGGCTCTGAGCCAGTTCTCTCTAGGTCTCTACCAAAAAATCACCCAAACTAGGCTAAGTTGCCTCCAATCATGAGAAACTCAGTATTTCTTGAGGGACAAAACACTGATTATTGGAAAATTCTTTGTATTGAGCAGGAAGCTGTGTCTATATAACTTCTACCTCTTGGTCTTGGTTCTACCCTGGTGTCAATTAGAAAACTTGTTTTCATCTTTCATGTAGCAGTGCTTTGTGTATGTTTCACCTGAGTTTTCTCTTCTCAGACAACCTCTCAACTCCTCCAACTTCTCTTTATTTGAAAATAAAGTAACTTTGTTTTCTTACTGAAAATGTAATATATAGTTATTTAGAACAGAGATAAACAAAAAGAAAATAAAAAGACCTGCAATTGCCTGAAAGGTACTTGTTGCCTGCAATGATTTGATTTTTTTCTATGCATATATATTTTTATTCTACAAAAATAGAATTATATCACATATATTATTTTATAACTCTGTTTTGTCACTTAACAATATATTGTGAAAATCCTTTTATGACATCTATAGGCTAATATGATTTTCTTTACAATAGCTACCCAATAGTCATCTGCATTATTTAATAAGTTCTCTTTCGTTGGACAACCAGATTGACTTCTAATTTTTTAGTTTGAATATTAAAGCTATATCTTTTCATGTCTCCCTAATTACTTCCTTAGGGTAAATTCCTAGAAGAGGAACTTTAATGTCATACAGTATACAAGTTTTCAAATATAAATAGAATATTATAATAAAATGTTGCCTCAATTTCTAAAGAAGAACTTTTAAGTATATCCACATAAAATTTACTGAAATGTATTTAAACAGGTTGCCTAAATGTGACTCTATTCACTATCTCCAGACCATATGAAGAGAAGGCTAGAAATTCCTTAAAGTGGGAAAATCTACTCAAGTGGGAAGTGTTTGGGGAATGGTGCTTCAACCTTTTCCTTCTCCTTTCATCACCAAGTCACAAAAGGGAGGGGCTCTAAGAGGACCTTCTGGAAAGACTGCTGGTACCAGCACCAAATAGAACCTGGCCACTCCCACCCTGGCTAGTATTTATGTAGACACCAAAATTCACAGGCCTACCTGGTGGTGACACTAGAAGGGAACACAAAGAGGGAGTTTGTTGGTGTTGCCTAACATGTGAACCCTAGAGTCTGGAGACATATGTGGCATCCAGATTGGAAAGGAAGAAGTAAAACTATCTCTATTTCAGATGACATGATGTTGTATATAGAAAATCCTAAGGAATCCATGAGCAAACTATTAGAACTAATAGATGAGTTCATCAGGGTTACAAGATAAAAAAATATAGTTTTTGGTTAATATAAAAAAATGGATTTCTATACACTTGCAATAAATAATCCAAAGATGAAGTTAAAAAGATAATTTCATTGCATTAGCATCAAAGAGAATAAGATATTCAAGAAATAAATTTATCAAAATAACTGAAAGGCTTGTACACTGAAAACTACAAAACGTTAACAGAAATTAAGTTCTAAACAAGTGGAAAGACATCATATTCATGGATTTGAAGACTTAATGTTTTTAAGATGACAGAACTTCCCATAATGATCTATAGATTCAATGCAATCAAATATATCCAATTTCCAACTGCTTTCTTAAAACTAGAAATTGACAACCTGGTCCCAAAATCATTATGAAAATTCAAAGGATCTTGAATACCCCAAACAATCTTGAATAAAAAGAACAAAATAGGAGTACTCACAGTTCCCAATCTCAAAACTTACCACAAAGCTACAACATTCAAGGCAGTGTGGTGCTGGTATAAGGTTAAAAATATAGATCAATGGAATGAAATTGGGAGTAAAAAGATAAACACTTACATCTATGGTATATTGATCTTTGAGATGTGTGCTAAGAAAATTAAATGGGGGAAAGAATAGTCTTTTAAACAAATAGTGCTGGGATAATTGGATATTCACATACAAAAAAATGAAGTCAAATCTCTATTTCACACCACATATAAAAATTAACTCAAAAGGGTCAAAGACCTATATGTAAGGATTTATTTCTTCATTCTCAATTTTATTCTATTGATCTATATATTTATCCTTATATTAGTACTATACTTTCTTGAATATTGTAGCTATAGTAAATTTTGAGATTGGAAAGAGTGAGTCTTCCTATTTTGCTCTTCTTATTCAAGATTGTTTTGTCATTCTGACTACCTTGTATTTTCATACATGTAAATCTTAGTGACCTTAGATTAGGTAATTGTTTCTAAGATATGACACCAAAAGCACATTCAAAATAAGAAAAAAATATATAAATAGAATGCCATCAAAATTTAAAACTATTATACATCAAAGAAAATCATCAAGAAAGTGAACACACAACCCAGAGAATGGGGGAAAATATTTTTAAATTACATATGTGATAACAGCATTATATCAAGAATATGTAAATAACTCTTAAAATTAATCGATAAAAAGATAAGTAACCCAATTTTAGGATGGGCAAAGACATTTCTCCAAAGAAAATACTCCAAAGGCTAATAAGCACATTAAAAGATGCTCAATATCATTAACCGTCAGGGAAATGCAAATAAAAATCATGACAAGATACCAATTCATACCCAGCAGATGGCTATAACCAAAAAGAAAGATAATAATAGGTGGTGGCAAAGATGTGGAGAAACTGAAAACCTCATACGTTGCTGATGGGATTGTGAAATTGATAGTCACTTTGTAAAATAATAAGGCAGTTATTCAAAGGATTAACCCTTTGCACTCGCTTGCTTTTTTCTCGATTCCTTTATTCTACTCGGGATTTAATTTTTTAAATACCCCAGATTTTACAAATCTCGGCAGTAGAATAAAAAACTGGAGTTTCTTTTCATACAAACGTATTTATTTGGATTTTTTAATATTTCAAATTATTGATACATTCAAAGAATAATTTTAATCTCTATAATTTTTCATGGTGTGATATTTTTTAAAACATTCACCCGCATGAAGACCTGGTTTACATTCACATGTTTTGCAAATATAAATCGTCTCTCTTCTTCCTCCTTTGATTTTTCTGTTAGAACAAACAACACAATCTTTGTGTTTTTTGTTAGGGTGAGGTGTGATTATATGGAGCTTTCCATCTAAACGTTGCTTTAAGTTAGTGGATAATAATTTACCCCTGGAAGTTAGTGTACCATCTCTGCAATTACATTTTACTTGTCCTTTCATGCTAATGAAAACAAGAAAAGATACTGGAAAAATAGACAAAAATCCCCCTTTCCCCTGCGGTGAAACTTCGTGTGGAGTGTGGCTCCACATCCGAGCTACTACCGATGCTAACTGTGTCGAGTCACACTTGACATCCGAGTGCAAAGGGTTAAACAGAGTTTTCATATGACCCACCAATTCCACTCAGAGGTATAGACTAAAGAGAATGAAAACATGTGTACGCAAAAACTTGTGCACTTGTTCACAGCTGGAAACAACCCAAATGTCTATCAACTGATGGATGATAAACAATATCCATACAATAAACAATCCAACAATAAACAATATCCATACAATAAAATATTATTTGGTAAGGAAGAGGTAAACCTATCTCTATTTGAAGACAGAGAAGCCTTGGAAACACGCCAAGTGAAAGAAGCCAGACACAAAAGGCCACACAGTGTATCATTCCATTTATATGAAATGTCCAGAATAGGCAAAGCTATAGAGACAGAAGGTAGATTAGTGAATTCCAGGGGCTTGGGTGAGGTGACAATGGGGAATGACTGTTAATGGGTATGCAGTTTCTTTTGGGGTTGGTGAAAATATTCTAAAATAAGAAAATGGTGATGATGGCACAACTCTGTGAATATACTATTAAAAACCACTGTATTTTATCCCTTACAAGGATGACTTTTATGGTGTGTGAATTATATCTTAATGAAGCTATTACTATAAATACATAAATATCATGAAAAAGATTTTTGGTGCATTTTGCCCAACTGTGCTGTGATACATTGTACCAAGTTAAATTCCCACCAGGTGTGTTTCAGATGATTTCAAGTCACCTTCCCCATCTTTGATGCATTCTTTCAATGGTCTATTTGACTTTGTCCTTCTTAAAGAGTGGTCCAAGGAATAGAACACCATGCTGTATTCCAAATATAACCAAGTTTTTTCAGACCAAAGTAGGACTATCACCACCCTTTGAGGATTTGTCTATATTTTATAGTCCCTATAATCACTTTTTGTAATTGCTAATGAAAATTACACTGAAATCAACCAAAACCCCTTATTATTGTATCTGGGCACACCTAATAGCTAATTTGCCAGTTGCTTCTTGGTGGGAGAAAAGCTTCTCCTGCTCTATAACACCTCATATATAATTTATTCTCCACAAATCCTTAGAGATGATCTGTGAACACTCATCCTAAATTATGAAGACATTCAGGAAACTTACCTCAGAGTCAGAGGACTGAAGTGAGCAGCTGCCAGCTTCGGCTGTGGTACACGGTGACTCTTTGACTAAGTATTCCACAAAGTAAGCAGGGCCAGACACCCACTGTTATGAGACAAAAGTCAAGACATAAAAAGTCAAGCCTTCCTCCCCAGGGGAAAATATTCAGGTTTGCCAGAATTATATTTACAGAAGCGATACATCACCAGAGGCACTGTCAATACACATATCTGTTGTCCCTGCAAGTCCCCACCCTGGTCAAACCATGGGCCATGATTTAGTTATTGAGAAAGCGTAATCGTCATATCTTTCTTCCTTTCTGAAAGATTTGAATGGGCCCCAAACACCTTTCCCTGGGAAGCTTAATTTTTCTCACATAGAATTATCTGAATGATAATTCTCCATATGAAAGAGATAGCAACATAATCCAATTACAAATGAGCCCCCATTTTCCCTGATCCATAAAACTCAACATCCACTCCAGGCCTTAACATGGAGTAAAAGTTGTCCCGCTAAGTGGTCTATGACAATGTAGCAGAGACAGTGAATTTGCAGAGAATCCCCCCAAGGAGACTGGCAGTCCATTTCTCTTCCTGCCCAAAGGTTGAGGAAGTAAAATGGAGTCACCTCACTCTTATAGAAATGTCACAGAATAACTGAGAAACTGAAACATGATTGAATGTGCATCAGGTCTACCAAAGTAGGGAAGGAAGAGAAAGGCTCTTGGGTTCTAATCAAAAGGAGTGCCCTGACATTCTCCCAGCTTAGGGATCTGTAGCAACGGTTATGAGACACACTGTTTGTCTGACTGCCTTGTGCCTTTCAGCCTTACCTGGCTAGAAGCCCTTGTGACTTTGACGAGAGAATACTGTTTCGAGGTGCTCTCATTGTTGTATTTTGCAAGAGACTCAGTAGCAGCTTCCAAGACCCGGGGATCTGAAGAATCAGCGTGTGTGGGGCCTGGGCAGTCCGGGCATATCCTTTGAATCTTTCTTCGAGAAACTGTTGATGTCAATGAGACCAGTTTAAAAATTATTGACTTTCAATCCTATAAATTACATGACCATAACAGAGGCAAAGATGGAAAAAAAAGATAATACTCAGTGTTGGCAAGGATGAAGTAAGGAAGACATTTTCTGGAAAGGAAGTGAATTGTTGGCAGGTAGATTTCTATAATGGGCATGTGTTATTTTCGTAGTTAAAAGCAAAGCAAGATAGTTTTTACCTCACACACATTTATTTATTCAGAGAATTTTGTTCAAAGACACATAATATAGTACATTGAATACGATCTTTCCCCCCAAGTATTTCAGTATGTCATCATTGCCTCTGCAAAGTAGACTGAGTGTCTTAAAAGGTTGGGATTTCATTACTGTCATGTCTTATTCAACTTTCACACCTTTCAGAAACATCATACCTAATATCTAATACACAGCCCAGTGCTAAGTAAATGTTTGTAGAAAAGAGTGAATAAATGAATGACATAGTGGAAGGAAACTCTTTGGTTAGAAAATGCAAGTGAGATTTGTTAAAGGACACAAAATTACACTTAGATAGGAGGAATAATTTCTAGTGTTCTATACCACTATAGGATGACTTATAGTTAACAGTTCTTTATAGTTTCAAATAGCTAGAAGGATGATATTGAATGTTTCCAACACAAAGGAATGATAAATATTTGAGATGTTGGATATACTAATTACCCAGATCTGATCACCACACATTATATATATGAAACATCACTATGTACCCCATGAATATGCTCAATTATTAGTTGTCAATTGAAAGAAATTTTGAAATGTTAAAAAAAAAAAGAAGAAGAAAATGCAAGTGAACCAGAACAGAAAATTGGTCAAATGACTGTGTGACTGGTAGAATGATCATACTAACAACACAGCCAGAATTTCTGTTTGGAGGGAGCTGAGGGTGGTAAACCTAGAGTGAAAGTAAGGCTAGGGAACTTAGCTTGGGTTGTTTTTGCAGAGTAAACACATAGTTTACCTGGGTGTATTTGGGGCCTGGGGGAGAGTATGGTGAGTTACACCCACAGCTTGTCACCCTGCATCCTTACCACCTGTCACTTACTGACCTCCCATAGCTCTGATACCTATGACTGGCATTTAAGTCCTGAGATCATTTATTAGTTGCTGTGATTTAACTTATTTCAGGTGAGTCTTGTCTTTCCAACCCCGAACCTCAAGCTGTGCTTAATAAAAGGTTTGCTCTCTTGCCTTGTTCCTCAAAGGAACCAGCAGCATTGTTACCAACCGGGGCTTGTTAGCAATGCTCGGCCTCAGGCCCTGCCCCAGACCTGTGGAGTCAGAATCTGCACCTTAACAAGACCCCCCAGAGGAGCCACATGCACATAGCAGTTTGACAAGTGGCTACATTATACTGCCTGTGCCATGGATGTTCTCTTTCCAAAGACTTCCCCTTCGAAACAGGAGGACCATGAGTGAATGCATGTGCATTTTTCAAATGTTATTCTTTCAGCCTCATTTTCAGTCTATTTATTTATTTATTGGACAACATTATTGACACCTTCCACTTGATAGGAACGGGGGAGAGTATAGCAAGGAAGAAGAAAGGACAAAATATTCTACCTAATGTAAGATATGAGGCCCCAAATGAAAGCAGCGCATCGCCTGTGTTCCCTGAGTGGTTTGGCCAAAGTTAGAAGGTCTGTTTGCTAAGTATCCAGCCATCGTTAATATATTTTTCGTATTACATGGCTGGATGCTTTCCAGACAGACCTCCTATATCGGAATGTAGAACAGGAGAGCACTCTTCCTTCCTGGAATAGAGGACGCTGCAGAAGCAGCAGCATCGGTGGTAGTGCTTAAAGGATATCCTGAGTTCCAAGGTCAGAGGGCATCGGGGCAGGGCGTGCTCAGCAGAGGGAGAGGCACATTGAGATGCAGCCACTGGGAAGGGCGATGTGTGTGTCAGCAAATAGTGGGGCACCCAGGTGGGCGGAATGCAGAACTGCCATGGTCAGGGAAATAACCTGTGGCAGAGGGAGCTAGAAAGGGAGTTGGGGACCAGCCACAGAGAGTGTGCCATTTATGTCAGGGTGAAAACTTAGGATTTGACCCAAGACACAGAGGATAATAGCTACTGAAGGTGATTTAGGAAGAGGAATTGGGGGAAGAGGAGCAGCACTGGACGAACGTCAGTGGGGAAGCAAGTACTGGAAATATTAAGCAACTAGTGTTAGAATGAATCCAAAGTAAAGATGGGAAAACACCCTGTACACTCTTTGCAGAGCACTGGTTAAATGATCTTTTGCATATTTTATTGAAATTAACAAAATCATAGTGATTTCTTACCTGGGCTAAGAGTACAGTTATAAGCAGGTGAATAGAGAACTCGATGTGGCTTGTTAATATAAAAGATCACTTTGCATTGACCGTAAACCTGAAACCAACAAATACATTTTATGACATGGTAGACAAAACTGTGAGTTTTAAAAACACCTCAGTAATAAAAATCAGACATTATATTTTTGAGTAATGAGGAACTTAAGGTCAAATTCTGTGGTTTTGGTGGGGAGGAACTGCAGTTGATCATCAAACTGTTGAACCTTTTTTCTGGGACACAGCTAGACTACATTTCCCAGTCTCCTTCACAGTTGCTGTGGCTGCGTATAACTGTATTCTAACCACAGGAACGTGACGTGTCACCACTTCCAGCTCTGGCCATGAAGATCTTCCAAGTTCTCACTGTCCTCCGTGCTCTTTCTGTTTCCATAGCTTGATGCAGATGAGCATGGTCACCATGGAAGTCACGAGTTGAAGCCGGCAGCATCTGGAGCCGCAGTGTGGAATGAATCTGGGTCTCCACGTCGTTCCTGGGGAAAGCCCCCTCCTGATCCAGAACTTCCATTTTGAAGTTCACATAAGTGAGAAATAAACTTGTATCATGTTAGCATCAGTGTACACCTTTTAGTGTATGTGTTTTAGTAGGTAGTGTCACCATAACAAATATAATTTATGACAAGGTAAATAGAGTATTTGCTTTTCAAAATCAGTTGGGTGCAGTTTGACAAATTGGTTATATGATTAGAAAAAATATCAATATCAAACTACTTCTAAATACATATCACTTCTTGCTCTCATGTTGTAAAATTTCATATCAATTAATAGACATAATCCCAGGATAATTAAGAATAAAATGAAACTGGCTATCTCAGGTCCCTTTCCTTGCCATCTTTAAAAGGATTAATTCTGGCATGGTGTGGTAGCTCATGACTATAATCCCAGTACTTTGGGAGGCTGAGGCAGGAGGATCACTTGAGGCCAGGAGTTCAAGATCAGCCTGGGCAACATGTGAGACCCTATCTCTACAAAAAATAAAAAATAGAAAAATTAGCCCAGCATGATGGTGTGCACGTGTAGTCTCATCTACTCTGAAGGCTGAGGCAGGAGAATCACTTGAGCCCAGGAGTTTGAGGCCTCAGTGATCTCACTACTATGTTCTAGCCAGGGCAACAGAGTGAGACCTGGTCTCAAAATTAATTAATTACTGAGGCCCTCTGGGTTCTATGATTTCAGAAAATCCAGAAAATCCTTCCATGGAACCCTTGAGATCTTTCATATTTTTAGCCATCCATTTTGCTACCTTCAAACCTCATATCAGTGCTTACTAAAACAAAACAAAGAAAAATAAATTTCAAAAGCTCTTCCTTCATGCTTCTGCAGTCTACATTACCCCATATCCAGAATATTCACCTCAGGTCTTCTCCTCACAATTCAAACGCTGGATCAGAGCCTAAAGGAGGGTCTTAGAGGTGGAAACCAATTTGGGGGCAACTTTTCCACTCTGGCCCACATGACTCCAGTGGACTTCTCAGAACCCCTCTGATTAGTTAAACTGTGCTCTGACTACAGAATTAGAATAAGGATATGGGCACCTACCAGGACATTATAAAGAGGGACATGTAAAAGATGGCAGACCTCGAGCAATCTTCACCCTGCAGAAAGAGGGCGCCTGGTCGCTTTCCCTAGAGCCCTTACCAGTTTATGAAAACAAGCACTCACCGATTCATGCAAGCTCCTCACCCTACAGTCCTTCCATGCCTTCTTGCTGAGCACATGGCAGTTGGTCTCTAACACATCCAGCGTGAGATAGAACAGAGATCCCAGGCCATCCTGTGGAAAGGGGTAGAAAAATGCATCACATCCCACAGGAAGCAGAAACCCATAAATCGCACAAAGAAGTCTCTGCTTTATGGGACAGCCAAAGGATGATTGAGAACATGCCCTATAAACCAATGAAATGTAGGCAAGTGTCAGAGTGGGAGCACAGTTAGCACTTGTTCCTAATACCAATAAGAGCATTGCAGCACAGGCTGGCAGAGGAGAGCAGAGTGTTCTCAGCAAGGTTTCCAAAATGGAAAGGACCTCCCAACATGTGCCTCTGAGTTTCCTGCTCACCCTGGCCAGTCTCTGTAGTGTGTCCAAATGCTTGCCCCAGAAGGGACAGTCACTTGCCTGTCTGTGTTCCCGGGCATCATTCACTCGGTTGAGGCTCAGCACGTAGCCATCCTTTCTGTCTCTGTTGATGTCCTGCAGGGCAAAGCCCGCGACTGCCAGCACATCTGCTTCATTGCAGCCCCGGGAGAGCAGAGGCGAGGGGCCCAGGGCCTGCTGGGGCAGAGACACAGCCCCACAGCACAGGGCCAGGGTGCAGAGCACCAGGGGTAGGAGCAGGCCCATTCTGTGGGGAACAGGGCCCAGGATGGGTCAGTGTGTGGAGATGCAGGGACTGCCCAGCTGGTGGGGCTCTTTAAGGCAGGCTTGAGGTGAGTTTTGCAATTGCAATCTGAATGGCTGACCAGGGTATGCAGGGTTGAAACCCTCTGTCCCATCTTATCGTGTTGAATTCTAAACGTGGATTTCCCTGAGTCAGTACTTTGGGTAGGTTTTGCCAGTGTTTGTAACCTTAGACCTCTAAGCAACGTCATTTTCATGAGTGCATGTAAACAAATTTGTTTCCCAACCTTTTCCCAAGAAATGATAACAAACATTTGGTCAAGGCTCTGATGAGTGGATTCTGGTTTGTGTCCAGGTCCCCTCCTGAATTAGAATATTGAGGACTGTTACTGATAGTATGGACTGGCTAATAAACAGAGAAAAATAAACTAACAGAAAGAAAGAGGAATAAACTCATAGCACAGAATTGCTCCCTTGAAGGGAAAGATCACAACACAATAGTTCCTTGTTCAATCAACCACCTGGGGCTTAATCCATTTTCTCTAAGAGTTTTGTTTTCTGGGGCTTAATTTGTTATCTCTAAGAGTTTGTTTTCACCTCCTTGAAGAGCTCTAGGCAGACAGCAGGGGTGGAAACTCCCTCCCAGCTCTCCCAGAACCACATTTTAAGCACTTTGATAAGCTGACCTCACAGAGAAGAGGAAAAGAAAAGGAAGAGAGAGAGAGAGAGAGAGAGAGAGAGAGAGAGAGAGACGAGAGAGAGGAAGAAAAAGAAAGAAAGAAAGAAAGAAAGAAAGAAAGAAAGAAAGAAAGAAAGAAAGAAAGAAAGAAAGAAAGAAAGAAAGAAAGAAAAGATGCAGCAGCTTCATAGCCATTTTCCTGTTATTGGTCTGCCACAGTAAATTTTTTTACCCTTTATAACCCCTGATAAAAAGCTCAAGCCACTTGTCCTCTGGGCCTACACTTTTCCTTTCTTTCTTTCGTGTAGTGCCCTTTCTCCCCGTTAGGAAGTAAAATAAACTTTCTTTCTTTAATAAAACTATTCAAATCTTCCTGTCGAGAATTCTTTCTCATCCTGTGTACAAGTTCCCACCCTGTCAGTCATCTCCCCATCTCCACTCGCATAGTCCCTACAGAGATCTTCCTGGTCACACTAATACAGTAGTTATCTCAGACAAGAGCACGAGGTCCTGGGCCCCAGTAGTGCTTGGTGAGTTCACATTTCTAGGTCAACCTCCCATGTTTCATGCTCTTGTTAGATCAGGAAGGTGGCTTAACCCCAGTCACCCAGCAGAAGCACAGGTGAGACACCTTAAGTACTTTGGACATCTTGGTGTCAAGCATTTTATTTAGATCATTTAGGTTATTTTAAAACAAAGACTTCAAAGAAAAAAAACATGTAAATGGGATATCAAAAGTTCTCACATCATATTCCTGGTCTATTCTTCCTTCTATGGATATGTATGGAAGCAAACTCATTAAGAGACTAAAACCCAATCGTACTGTTAAGAGAAAAGTAATGATGGGCAGGTGGGCTGGAACACTAGTATACACTGGTTGAGACTCTTGCCTTCCATTTTTAGCTTTTTGTAAGTAATGCCTATTAGTAACCCATAAATATTCTTTTGAAATTGCTGGATTAGTAGATAAGAATAGTTATCTGAGGTTTTCTGATGAGGAACTGGCCAGAGGGACCAAAGATTTTGACTGGAAGTGGAGATCTTGCATGAAAGAAATGTCCCACTGGCAAGAACAGAAATCTAGGATGTAGTAAGCCATGGCTTATAACAGAGAACTGAACATAAATAAGATGTTTACTGTTTCTGAAGTCTCTATGTTTTTTTTTTAATGTTAACTATTATTTCACACCAAAATGAAATATAATGATTTGCATTGCTGGTTAATATTACTGTGATTAGCTACTGGGATAAAATTTAAATTTTTATTAAGAAATAGAGTGGAAAATCGTTTTTTTTCTTTTCTCATTTGCTCACAGAGAAGTAAGTCATGGCATTGTGAGTCGCTGTGGTGTCACAGAGACTCACTAAAACACACTGTTAAAGATAATTTAGTAAATCTAACCAGCACATTTCCCAGGTAAGAATACTGAGGTTTAGGAAGCTGGAATGCCTAAACAAATCATAAATAATCTAGTTTAGGCAGAACCAGTACAGAAATCTTCTAGTTTAGAATTCTTCCCATCAGACCAAACATTAAAGCAACAACCTAATTGTAGTTCTTTTATTTACCAACCAATGAACTTGGGAAGTCAATTAAGTACTGTAAGCCTCAGTAGCTATTGCCATAAAATGGGTTAGTTATAGCACTGCCTCAGAGATTGTCCCTATGGAGGGCTAAGTAAGCACTTGGTATACAGTGGTAGCTATTGTGTCACCATGGTAGCAACCTGTATTTCTACAAGCACTTACTGAGCAACGCTGCAATGCTAGGTGTTGACTCTGGGAAATCAAGGGTCAATAAGGATTATAAGATTAAGACGCAGCCTTCTACAGCCTGCCAAAGGTCATGTTTTGGGAACTTAATCCCCAGTGCAATAGTGTTGAGAGATGGGACCTTTAAGAGGTTGGGGAGGATGTGAGGCCTGAGCACACAGCAGCAGACAAGGGCCAAAACAGGAGGGAAAGGTCTGGGGCCTGGGGACATGTGTCAGACTCGCATAGGTGAAGGCCATTAGTGCAGCTAAAATGAGAGGCAGGACTCAAACAGATTAAAAGATCTGATAAGATGGAACTTGTGACCCCTGCCCAAGGACCTCAAAGAACCTGAGCCCAGCCTCCTCTGGGATGTGGAATATGGGAGGCCTGGGAGAGGCAGCAGGGGAAGAGGCCAGTCTTTGGAATCAGACAGTCTTGAGTTTAAATGGCGCCCTGGCCACTGCATGGTAGAGACCCTGAGACACTGTGGCTGTGCCACAGAATTTAGCTTCCTTATCCATAAAGCAACAGCACTCCCAGCCTGTGCATACACAAACATAATTATACCCACCTGTACAAAGAGGGGGACATAGTTCCTCTTTCCCCAGAAGCCCAGCCCAGGTACACTTATGTTTGGTCCCATAATGTGTGGGAAGTTGAGTATCAGCATGGAAGTTTAGTTTCAGCATAGGAGTGAAGAGCAAGGCTTTGGAGACAGATGGATCTGAGACTGAAGCTCAGCTCTGGTGGAGGGTAATTATCTACTCCAATGCTGTCCAGTAGAAATACATGCAAGTCACATATTTCATCTAAGTTTTCTAGTAGCTGCATTAAAAAAGTAAAAAAGAAACAGAGGAATGCAAGTTAAAACCACAATGAGATATCACCTAACCCCAGTAAGTATAGCTTTTATTAAAAAGTACAAAACCAAAAGATGTTGGTGTGGATGCATAGAGAAAGGAACACTTATACACTGCTGGTAGGACTGCAAATTAGTACAACCCCTAGGGAAAACAGTGTGGAGATTTTCCAAAGAGCTTAAAGTAGACCTACCATTCAATCCAGCAATCCCACTGCTGGGTATCTACCCAAAGGAAAAGAAGCCTTTTTTTCAAAAAGACCTGCACTTGAACGTTTATTGAAGCACAATTCACAATCGCAAAGATGTGATCAATCCAAGTGCCCATCAATTCATGAGTGGATTAACAAAATGTGGTATACGTATACCATGGAGTACTACTCAGCCACAAAAGAATGAATTAATGCCTTTTGCAGAAGTTTGGGAGGAACTGGACACCATTATTCTAAGTGAAGTATCTCAAGAATGGATAAACATCACAAGTACTCACTACTAAACTGGAACTAGCTGATGGGCACGCAGTGCACAGAGGGAAGTAAAAGTCATAGGAAATCAAACAAGGGGGCAAAATCCACCTAACAGGTACAATGAACACTATTCCAGCAATGGGCACATTTACAGCCCTGACTGAAGCCATATATCAAAAATATCTGTACCCCCTTAATATTTTGAAAGAAATAAGAAAGAAACAGAGGAAATTAATTTTAACAATATTTTGTGATTATTATAAAAGATTATGAATGGGTCAGTTTAATTTACATTCTTTGTCTCACACTACAGCAAGCCTCAATTCAGACCAGCCACGACGTTTCGGTTGCTCAGGAGTTGGATGTGGTCACCTTATTAGACAGCCCAGGTCTGGCCCCTGGGAGTCTCAGAACCCCCCCCCCCCCCAGTGTAAAAAGAAGACAGTAGGAAGCTCCATCTCCTGAGACTGCAGTGAGGATTGATGACAAGGGAGGCGTGTGTAAGGTGCTTCGCACGGCCCTGGCACACAGCACATGTGGGAACAGTGTCTGCTGTCAGTGTTGTGACTGTACTTGTGGTCCTCACCTTGTCTCACACGGTACAGATCCCTGTGTGACTCTGCCAGTGACCTTTGCCCAGTCCAGCATCAGGGAAGTGGTCACACTTGAACGGTTCTCCTCCAGGTGAACCAGGCCAGGAGAAACAGGGCCAGTTTCCCTTGAGCCAGGAAGGGGTTGCAGGAGGCCTCCTGGCTGCCTCCCAGCTCACCCCTCTCCTGATACCGGTGTGAATCAGGGCAGCGACTTAGGTTTTTGATTTCAGAAGTGGGAGAGGTCAGGTAGGCCAGGTATAGGCATTGTTTGCTGCAGAGCAGGGAGCGGCGCAGCACACGGGATTAGGTCTCTGGGGAGTTGCAAATGTAGGCACCAAGTCTTGGCCTGAGAGGGCAGGGTGTGTACTTAGAAAAACTATACAACGGGGCCAGGTGTGGTGGCTCATGCCTGTAATCCTATCACTCTGGGAGCCTGAGGCGAATGATCACTTGAGGTCAGGAGTTCGAGACTATACAGCAGCCACAGCTCTAAAATATCAGGCTGGTGCTGCATTAGTTAAAGACGGTCTCTGCAGCTGGTTGATGTGTTTCTCTTTCTTCCCTTTCCTCCCTTCCACAAACACTGAATGAACATCTCTCTACTCCACACACTGCCAAGGCCCAGCATTATGTATAAGGTTGATGAGTTCTCAATACACGCACATCCCTGTGCTAAACTCTGTGTTTCTTCTCTCATTTAAGCCATGACCAATCCAGGGCTGCAGATACCACTGTTATTCCCACTGTGCAGATAAAGAAACTGAGGATCAAAGAACTTAAATA